GCCTGAGGTAGTGGCGGGCCTCTTCCTGGAGATAGACGCCGAGGATTCGGAGCATGCGTACTCCATTTCTAAGGGGGCTGCTTGTAGCGGGGAGGGGCAAAGGAGTTCCTCGTTTCGAGGTATGCCGCTAGTACTGGCGGCGGGAGGTGTGCCTGAGGTGCAGGGATGGGAGCCTGGGCGGCGATGGTGGCGATGGCGAGCGGCGAGGACCGTCTCATTGCCACTTAACCCATAATGGGTAATGAGGGCGGCTAGGGACTCAGTAAGACTGGAGTTGGCCATTTTAGGTTGAGTGAATATCAACAGTCAGTAAATTGTTATATACATGCTGATTATGAACAAAACCATAGCGTGTTATAATTCTGTTATTATCTTTCGTAAAGCGACATCTAGTGAAATAACTCAGAAAATCGCAGTCCACTGTTGTGTTCCTGTCTGAGGAGTAAAGAAAGTCAATTAATCTTCTGTTCACCAGATGTCGCAAGTTGACAATTAGGTGAAGTTTTTTGTTATACAGTTTGTTGAAGTTTTGAATAAAAATTTATCATTTTCTATAGAGTATTATATTAATACACAAAACAATACCTCAATGGAATGCTCTTTAATTTTTTGCACATTTTTACCCTTTTTTTAATTTTCTACTTTTTGAATATTCTGTTTTGGTCTATTTATTTTTAATGTAATAATTATAAAATATAAGTAATAGTAAAGGAAGAAACATTAACCATTTCATTTTTCGAAAAAAAAAATTACTTCCCTGCTACGGAATCTGTCAAATATTAGATCCTCATTTTATGTGGCGCCGCCCTAGTGGCAGAAAAAGTCGTGGATTACATTCATGCATCATGCATCGTGGATTACATGGATTACTTGTTGTTTGAAGTTGGTTGCAGATGTCTATAAGCTGCATTAGTCACCAGCATTTGGACTGTAAATTCGTTAGTCACTTTTATTTAAAAAAATGTCTAAAGATGTTATAAATTACTGTTTGAAAGTCTTGTTCTGCCTTTACTAACAGGTGGCGCGTTGAGTATCAAGTTGTGAAATAATTTTTTACTCCACCTCAGCATCACTTATTTGACCTAGATAGTGCTTATTTTGGCACTAAACCAAAATAATTATATTATAACCATAAAATCCATTTTGATCTGATCCATATTGACGGAATTTGTTATACCTTGGCTACAGCGCCACCTATCCGATCTATGTATGAAACAAAACAAAAATCTGTTATTAACAAAATCTGCAATAAATTTTCCAAAGTAGCGACATCTGTGAAGTTGTCCAATTATAAACATAATGTTTTCGGAAACACATTATGGATGGCGTAACCATGAATTGATTTGTTGTAGGCAAGGCAAGTCAAGGCAACTGTTGGCAACTGTCCTCGGCCTGCTCCAGCCTGCTCGGTGCTCGCCTCTTTTACATCCATATAATATATGAGATATTTATTATCTACTCCTAATTTGGCCCTTTTTCTATATATCGGTATAATATCGGTATAAAATCAGTATAATTATTAATTAACCTAAAAGGGGTAATAATTACATATACTTTTAAAACAACTTTTGTATAATTATAATTTTGTAATAGAAAGCGTTTTTGCCCCATCAAGAAATTACTAACTCTGAAGTCCAAAAACATTACTGGCTTATGCTTGTTCCTAGAACTTACAGAATCACTATCACTATTATTAATAAAGCTATTTTTTTTTTCATTTTATGCATGTGTGCATAGTATAATCCCTAATTATGCAAAAATATCCAGGCATGCAGCATACTAATCAATGCTGTTTTCGAAGTTTGTTGAAATTATCAACCACCCTAATTCTATATAAAAAACTTAGGAATGATTTATTATTCATATATTCACCTTTTTATGCAATCGATTACGTTTTTAGGTTTTCTGTCTCTATTTCACCAAAGCCAATAATTATTTTTATTAATGTTAAACAAAATTTATGCGATTTATACACAATTTTATTGATAAATATATTGAGATCTTACACAGAGTCTTAATAAACTTAGCCAACCAAATTAAGAAAAGAAAAACAATTGTATAAAAGTTCAAATATAATTTAATTTAACAAAATATCCCATAAATGAATAGAAAATATTGTAACCGAAATTAATTTAAAGTAATTTATATAAATTTAATTTCGCAATGGAAATAATACAAAAGCTTAGTCTTTTTTGGACCCTCGAAACGGATGACGCTTTCTGAAATAAATAAATCCACATTAAAATTGCGATCTCCATAAACGTAGCTCACGTATATAGCAAAACTTGAAAATACGAGTGGTTCTTTATTGCTGGCCGCATGAGACTTACGAGCTATGGAAAGGGCTATGGCGGACTTTCTCTCTGTAATATCGCAGTATAATAAAGATAGACTGTGGTAATATTATCCGTAAAGCTCGCTATACATGTCGGCAGAGCGAAAGCAAGTACCAATAATAGAGAGCTCATTTGTTTAGCCTCACCATTGCTCGGCGTCGCTCGCTTAGCTGGTCGAGTGCAGGCGAGCACCAACGTGTATAAGTAGTGTATTGTACGGTTTGTTTAGGGTGCCTTGCCACCACTCGGGATCTCTCACCACAACTCGTCTCACTTCAGAATAGTGTCGGTTTTTCTGCGCAAATCAAAGGCGCTTCTCTGCACTCGGCAAGTCATGTCCACATGTTAATCAGCCATGTCAGTATGTTCACTCTTTCAAACTTCGCCGACATGTAGACTGTATAGCACTCGTCTTGTATCGATTTGCCAATGCTCGCGTAGGCTAAAGCTTGATCAACATGTATTGCTGGCTTTGCGATGATACACAAAACACGTTTAGAGCCAGAGTAACCGACATAGCTTAAGGCGTTTCCCCTAGCGAACGACATCCTCAGTCCTATACAATCCAGGCGCTCTCGCTACAATATATCGCGTAAAAATACGCCCTATGTTTTGTAATTATTTTAATTAAAAAAGAAAACGAACTTAAGAAATTAAATAAAACGTGAATAATATAGATTTTAAATTACCTATCGATTAGTGTAATCCTCAAATGATTAGAGCGTTGCCTTTAGCAACAGATGCATGTGATCAGTAATTTTAGTCACTTTTTAAAAGTAGATTTTAAATATATTTATAACACATAAAAACAAATTAGAACGTGGAATGTGATGATAAGATATCGAACATTAATAATGTGCTTTTATATGTAGCTTATTTCTCATAACTAATGAGATAATAGTCTGAAAAACGCACTTTTACAAGATTTTGGTCGGGGTACCGCCTTAATAGGTAAAGCTGAAGTGGTAATGGGTCGTTCATATGGTTTGAAGGCAACCGATGGACAAGAAATCTCTCGAGTGGCAGCCTCATACCGGTGCGCGAAGTGTCAGGCGGCCCAACACTAGGTGAGAGTGACGACCTTCAAAAATGCAGGAAGTCGATGTATACAAATGACTCAGGACCGAAATTTGTGGCGTTCCGCAAGGAGCCCTATGCTCAGCAGTGTACTTGTGGTGGGCAGAAGTCATGACAATAATGATGAAGTCTAATAAAATAAAAAAATAACTAAAACCGACACCGCATCTTTTTATATGACGTAGCCAAGTGGCTGCTTACTATATACCAAAAGAAACCGCTAGATATGGTTGTATAACTGTATTACTGAACTAGGTTAAATAGAATAGTGTATAATTGAACTATCAACAAACCGGTAAGCTAGTGATATCAGTTCCTCGACTCTCCAGAGTTAGTAATTTATTCATCTGGCAATGTAAACGATATTACAACATGGTCTCAGAACGAGGTCTCGATATTAAAAAGTTTAAAATATTTACTTACTTACTTACTTATCTTCACGCACAATCCCTAACGGGGTAGCCAGAGAGAACAGATCGCCAAGTGTCACGATCCTTACATACCTCTTTCGCTTCTTTCAGGTTCATTAACTTCTTCATACATGCACGTCTAGGTATCCGAGTACTCTTGACCCTCCCCTCTTCGAGCAATTGCTGCTCACATGGTCTTCGAAAGTTAGTCTCGGTCTACCTCGACACCTTTTAATATTTACTTTCGCTCTATATATTTTCTTCACCATTCGGTCTTCACTCATTCGTTCAACGTGCCCAAACCATTGGAGTACGCCCCTATCAATTTTTTATTAATATTTATTAAACAAAAACTGTATAAAAAAGGGTAATGTAAATGAATTGATAATAACCCTTGGGAGTGAGGTGGTCGCCTCCAAGCTATATGTTAGCAATATAGCTAAACAAGTTTTGTAAGTAGTTTGTTCAACCTGTGTAGTTTTTTTTTTCAAAGTAAAGTTAAACAGTGAAGTTTAACTTTACTTTGAAAAAAAACCTCCCGCTGGGTTTTTTGCTAGTTCTTTCCACGATTGAAGTTTTTTACAGAACCAATGGTAAAAGCAAAAAATTATTTTGAATATTCTATTCTATTCTATTACTCCATATTGTATACTATACTGAATGACCTTTTTTGCCGTCTGAAAAAAAAATAAAAACAAAAATTTTGAATTAAACGTTTGCATAAATTTTTTTGAACAATTACCTACTTTGCCCATTGCCCTTGAGCCTGTGACCGTGTGAAGTGACAAGGTCAAAGATGCCTACTAATTTTATTGTTTTATTGCCGTTCGTAAAGTAGGGTGGATATGATTTGAATTTCGATAAATTTTAATTAATTTATTTATTTAATTCAAATTTTTTTTTGTAAAATATCAGTGCCATACTTCTGCTCTGTTCACATGTTACACCCTATTTTTTTCCAGACTTTAAAAAAGGTCATCCAGTATATCACACAATTTCCGCACCATAGTTCCGCCGCATTTTGTATGGTAAGAACCGGTCCCGTATAATTACAGTGCCAGGCAACGCGAATCTCTAGAGATAGCGACGCACTCATCATTAGTTTTCGACGATGATTCAACGAAAGACGCAACAATGATCCACACACACGAAAATAATAGGTATTTTTAAAGAAAACTTACGATGGTATTGTCAATGTGTAAATTCCAAACTTGGTGTTAATATCTTCAAGATGAAAGATGCTTTGAATGTATTCTTCATCAGCTGGTACAGCCGGGGTTTCAAATACCAGATTCATTATATAGTCCTCGACACAGCTGTGAAATGAAAAAATAAATAAATTATAGAATACTTTTCATCGAATTCAAAAAGTAGGAGGTATTCAATTCAACTGTATGTTATTGAATATGTGCGTTACCTCATAACTTTTCTCTGGGTGAACCGATTTTAATCACTCTTTTTTTATCTGTTTTAATCAAGATCTGAGCAGTAGTTTTTGAGGTATCTTTAGTAATAATGCCTATTGGATTGACTTCGAATACATTGATGATGTTCACATTTTAATTATATTGAAGTCGTTTGTACAAAAATTTTAATTTTACCATTTGTTTACAGTAGGATTAGATCTACATAAAAATCTAGAACTGTCGTTAGGTCTCTAAAGCGCCCTCTAAGAACTTTGTGAGCAATTGTTACTTAACGGAGTTTTAGAGTTCGGACTGATCTCAGAATATATTGTAGAGATTTACATTCGGTTTTCAATAACAGACGGATTAAGGTTGAGGGTATTTTTTCTAATTTATAATTTTTTTTGAACATAGTTAGACATAGTTTTTACCCAGATATGTACATAGTAAAAGATAAAGTAGGTACTCTATATCCCCGCCAGTGGGTATCATTATCATGATGATAATGAAGGATCTAGGACAGGACATCTAGGCAGATATCTACTGACTGGTCTTAAGCGCGGTTGTTGATCATGAGCCCAGAGTCAGGAAGGTGGTAGTGTTTCACCCCCGTGCCTCGAAAAGCACATAAAGCCGTTGGTCCTGCGCCTGATCTCTCTCCGTTCACGTCGAATAACCGTCCCATCTTACTACGAGAGTGAAGGAATAGAGAGTGCACCTGCGCTTGCGCATACACTTGGGCACTATAGTCCTGTCCTGCGCCGATGACTAGTCTCCGTTGAAACTGGCCGCTGTGACCGAAATTCGGTCTGGAGAAAATTAATACTTACTATGCACATGGTGTGTAGGGTATGAGTTTCTCAATTTTATTTGGCCGTAACTGCTCCACGTATGGATCTGCCACCAATTTAACAGCTTGCGGAGCTGGTCCTTTCCGGGATTTAGGCGTTGGTGCTGGAGGCTGAAATGAAACTTTTAATTTATAGCCTATATGTATACGTCTCGCTGCATTTCTGAGAGGGTTTTAGAGCAAGAAAGTGTGCGCCGCGCTACCCTAATGCGTTTTGCGGGCTTCGAAATTTTCACTTTGATTACTTAAATATATATGATTACCTCACGACGTTTTCATTTACCGTCGTTAAAGTTGAAATTAACAATATCGTTGGTGCCGGCAGGAATCGAACTCGGGTCGCTCGCGTAATATGATATTTGAAGTGAGCGCGTCCATGCGTCTGAGCTACAACTGTTGTACATATGTTCTCTAGAACGAATAAATGAAAAATCACAACCGGTTATTTACATCCAATGGGACAAATGTGCAGTACTACTAATAATAATAATGGCCAGTCTCAGTGGAGACTAGCACCAGGTAACTAGCGCAGACTCAGAGCACGACTATGTGCGCTAGAATAGACGCACTCTCTATTCCCTCACTCACATAGTCCGATGAGACGGCAGACCAACACGGCCGAATATAGTGGCGCAAGATGAACATGCTCACAATTACAAATTGCAATCAAAATACGTTGACATCACTATAAGTAAATGCCATCAGTCTACCCACTACATAATTTTAAATGCTTACGATATATATGAATTCTTTCAAGGTTTTTTTACCGCCGCAAAGCACGCTGCAGCTATGATATGACTGCAGCACCAGTGGGTCGGCTTGATCTTGGTAGGACCACGTTCTCGTAGAATACCAGTGTAAAATAGAGCAGCTCAATGATGTTGTGTTTCGTATAGTGACTGTAGAGAACCGGAGACCCTTTTTAATAGAAACGAGGCAATCCATCTTAATCCTCAGTGGTGACAACGTATCTGCATTTTGATTCTTAATCGAGGATAGATGTAGATGAGTATGGGCTACAGTATCCACTTACAACTAGGTGGACTGTGAGCTCATTTCTCACCCTTATTCTATTCTATATTTTGTACGAGCCTTTGGCTTGAAAAGGTAGGAGCATTTTTTGTATGTGCTCCATGGAAACTCATAACGTTTCACATTGATTTAATACCCACCTTAACTGCGCCATACACTACTTCGATGAGACTCTTGACTTCCGCCTCTAGGATTCTAAGAAACTTGGACACATTCCACCTGGTCACCTCCTTGTGATTCCCCAGCAGTGTAAGCAGTGGAGTGCAGTCGCACCTTGCAAGTCTAGTACGAAGACAGAGCGTTACGATTTTGCTTTGCTTTATAGCTTTAAGTCCTCATCATCATGTGCCTGTGGCAGCGCACAGCTGGGTAGAGTCGAATAGTAACGCTTCAAGAGATATTTCAAAGAACGAAAAGTAATATATAAAAATGTTTGTTTGTCTGTATGTCTCTCTTCCTGTCCGGGCTAATCGAAGGTTTGACCGAAACGATTGCGATGGAGCTTTACGAACAGATAGAGAGCAATGCAGCGATCTAAGCAACATTTTTTTTCCGAGAAAGAAATGTGGAGGATTCATTCAGAAAATCGAAAAACTGATAAGAAAATTGGTTTTTTATCTTCAATCTTAAGGACGCGTTTACAAAATGGATAGGTATAGAATCGCACTACTACATTGACAAAAGTCACACACACACTAGTGTACGCACGGTTGGCTGTGGGAATCGTAGTCAAATGAAATTATTTTGATAATTTGAAAGATTGAATTTGTTTTTCATTTCTTATACCTACCTCAGAAATATACTTCGATACGAAATATGAATACCTGCTCCAAAGACTGCTTGGCACTGGAAGCCCTCTACTGGTAGTGAGATGTTAGCTCTGGACTTTGAACTGGTTTTGTCAGTTATAATAAGACCTTACCTACCTGCGGACTTGATGGAGTGACCTGAAGGTGTAATTTGGTGATTACAACAATAGGAACTCCTAGACTAGTGGAACTAGGTGTGCCGAGTTTGGGTTCGTTTTGTTGGTTATGATGAGACCTTACCACCGGACTTGATGGAGTGACCTGAAGGTGTAATTCGGTGATTACAAGTGGAAATCCTAGACTAGTAGAACTAGGTGTGCCGAGTTTGGGTTCGTTTTGTTAGTTATGATGAGACCTTACCACCAGACTTGATGGAGTGACCTGAAGGGGGTAATTCAGTAACTACTGCTGGAATTTCTGAACGAGTAGAACTAGGTGTGCCGAATTTGGGCTCCGTTTTGTTAGTTATGACGAGTCCATACCTCCGGACTTGATGGAGTGACCTGAAGGTGTAAATCGGTGATTGCAACTGGAACTCCTAGACTGGTGGAACTAGGTGTGCCGAGTTTGGGTTCGTTTTGTAGGTTATGATGAGACCTTACCACCGGACATGATGGAGTGACCTGAAGGTATAGTTCGGTGATTACAAGTGGAACTTCTAGACTTGTAGGACTAGGTGTGCCGAGTTTGGGTTCGTTTTGTTAGTTATGATGAGACCTTACCACCAGACTTGATGGAGTGACCTGAAGGGGTAATTCAGTAACTACTGCTGGAATTTCTGAACCAGTAGAACTAGGTGTGCCGAATTTCACTCCATCAAGTCCGGTGGTAAGGTCTTATCGTAACTAACAAAACGAAACCAAACTCGTCACACCTAGTTCTACTAGTCTAGGAATTCCATTTGTAACCACCTGATTACACCTTCAGGTCACTCAATCAAGTCCGGTGGTAAGGTCTCATCGTAACTAACAAAACGAACCCAAACTCGGCACACCTAGTTCTACAAGTCTAGGAGTTCCACTTGTAATCACTGAACTACACCTTCAGGTCACTCCATCAAGTCCGGAGGTATGGACTCGTCATAACTAACAAAACGAAGCCCAAATTCGGCACACCTAGTTCTACTCGTTCAGAAATTCCAGCAGTAGTTACTGAATTACCCCTTCAGGTCACTCTATCAAGTCCGGTGGTAAGGTCTCATCGTAACTAACAAAACGAACCCAAACTCGGCACACCTAGTTCTACAAGTCTAGGAGTTCCACTTGTAATCACTGAACTACACCTTCAGGTCACTCCATCAAGTCCGGAGGTATGGACTCGTCATAACTAACAAAACGAAGCCCAAATTCGGCACACCTAGTTCTACTCGTTCAGAAATTCCAGCAGTAGTTACTGAATTACCCCTTCAGGTCACTCTATCAAGTCCGGTGGTAAGGTCTCATCGTAACTAACAAAACGAACCCAAACTCGGCACATCTAGTTCTACCAGTCTAGGAGTTCCAGTTGCAATCACCGATTTAGACCTTCAGGTCACTCCATCAAGTCCAGAGGTATAGACTCGTCATAACTAACAAAACGGAGCCCAAATTCGTCACCCCTAGTTTTACTCTGCAAGAAGTTCAAATAGCGGTCACGAAAGTACACCTTCAGGTCATGCCATCAAGTCCAGAGGTAAGGTCTCATCATAACCAACAAAACGAGCCCAAACTCGGCACACCTAGTTCTGCTCGTCCACGAGTTGCAGTAGTAGGTAAGTTTATATATCCTACTTATTTTTAGCTAAATAAAAACTGTGAGTATAAAAATAATAATTTTATCACTTGTCAAGTACCTATGTTTCCAATTTGTTTTTTTCTAATATTTTGTGTATGTACAGCGATCTTTTTAGAATGAGCCGCTGCAAACAGGCGATACAGTGTCCACTCACGACGGCAGCCGAGCGCGGACTGTGGTTTCATCGAAATCTTTGTACAATAAATCAAAGCAGGCACCAACAATAAAATAGCCCTTATTGCAATACATTATGATTCATCCATATTACCAAAATATGCGAAAAAATGTGCATCAGTTTTTATTTTTTTTACGACTATTAGTGACACTTTGTTAAAAAATAAACCCAGGGTTTTTTAATTGAATATGTCTGTCATCTTATAGTATTTTTAAATTTTTTAAATATGTTGATAATAGACCAAAACATTTACCGAAACACAAGCCGGTATCGTTAATTTTGTAGAAAATGGCAACGAAAGTTCGTTTTTACAATATAAAAAACTACTATTTTCAACAAAAGAGTTACAGACATTTGCAGATGAAGAACCAATCTATACATGGTAGTTTTTACTTATATTTGATTTGGTTTAGTTTTGTCACAAAATCTACCGAAAAACACCCTAATTTTGGTTGATTTGCAAACGCGTCCTTAATGAAGCCACATTAATAGATCGCATTCAGGCGATCCCGGTGCTCTAGCTTTAAATATCATAAATGGAACTGTCTCTGCTTTCCTTTCATATTATAGTGGTAGAAGAAACTATAAACAACATGGCACACTATTTTATGTATTGTTTATCATTAGAAATAGGTATTTGCGGCATAGATACATTGTGTGAATGTTGTGCGTACCAAAGCTTGTGAGAGCTACACCATCTACCCGGTACAAACAAGTAAGTTGTTTTTTGACCTTGTGGTGTGTTACGAATACAATTGTGCAACAAACAGCTATGCAAATGAATTGAATTTACAAATGTTTCCGATTATTTGATTCTAATAACTCTGAAGATGCATCCCCACAATGCAGAAGTTCAACGGCGGCTTCTTTGATGTGAGATACAAACATGTACCTACATCAGCACGACCTTCAGATTTTCGCAAAATACGCTGCGCAGACTAAAGTAGGCTGGCCGATCTGCGCTGGATAGGAGTTTAGGTGTACAAGTGTGTGCGGACACAGGTGCACTCCCTGTTCCCTCACTCTCATAGCCCGACGGCATCGCAAGACAAAGATCAGGATCAATCGCTGGATCAGGCATAGGACCAACGGTTTTACGTGCTTTTCAAGGGGATATAGTAACTCCGCTCAAATTCTAATTTCGTTTGTACCGACATGTTTGTAATCACTAATACTGTAAGTAGATAGGTCGTTAGACACTTCTTTCATGAGGTTTATCATATTTATGCCTGTTTCTTTACGCCAACCCAGGCGCTTCTTATTTGTATCAGGGTTATTTCCCATGTCCTGTTGGGTAATGTGTAACTCTAAGAGACAATAAT